CCCCGGGATCACGACCCGAGCCGAAGGCAGACGCTTAACGCCTGAGCCACCCAGGCGCCCCCCTTGCAGCAGTTTGAGAGTTTTCAAGTACTTATTATTACACTACTGCACTAGTACCAGTGCTGCTGTTGCCCCTGCTGCCGCCACCCCGGAGTATGAGCCCCTGCCAAAACTGCTACTAATAGTTCTATTACCACTGAGTATGAACTACTAACGTTGTTGCTGTTACTACAGAATATGAGCCTCTGCTGCTGCTAGCAACACTGCTAGCGAGGAGGTCTCTACTGCCGCTGCTGCTGGCAGTAGTAGTGATACTACTAGTAACAGTACCGCTGCCGCTACTACTGGGTATGAGCTCCTACCACCACTGCTGCTACCAGTACTAACGCTGCTGAGCATGAGCCGCCACGTTTGCCACGTACTCCCCTCCCCGGTAACCGACATCCCCAAAGAGACCAGCGCTCTCACCAGCTGCACGCTCCTTTCGCCCCCGGTCCCGGCATCCCTAGATGCCCCAGTAGTAGGTATACCAGGGCCGGACAACGTGGTCATCAACGCTCCCTGTGCCAGAGTGGAGCCTGTCCTCTCAGGAAGAAGCCCAGCTCCTGCGGCCTCAGAGCTCTGTGCCTGCTCCTCCCAAGCCCAGCACAGACCTGCAGCTTATTCTGAGATGGGACCACCTGGGACTTAGAGACCCCACCCCACGTGGGCAACAGCCCACAACAGTGAGGGAAACCAGAAGCTCGGGCCAAACACAGCCACAAGGGCCAGCCTTTGAGATCTGCCATCTTCAGCTTCTTCAGCACTTGGTAGCAAAGAGAACGGAGAGAACCAGAGGCCACAAAGGGAGGCCTGCTCCAGGATATGATCTAGCACCAGACTCCAAGGACACGGGTCCCTGCCCACGCCCAACCAGACACCGGACATGGGCCACAGGCATATGCCAAGGCTCCCGGGCTTTCCGACAAGCCGAATCCACGAGCACTCTGCTCTGTGAGGTCAGCAGCCACATCTCATCAGGAAATCCTGCACCCACCGGCCACCATTTTAAAACCCCAACTTGTCACCCGGTGTATTTCAAACTGAGACTTATCATGACCGCACAGGAACCCCATCACTGGGACATGAGTATATGGGTCAAAGCCAGGCTGGGACAGGCTCGGGGTTTCCTGTCCCCTCCCTCACCAGCCCCCCAGTCAGTCCCACTGCTGTGTATCTCCACCCTGCCCGTCACAAGCCACAGCAGTATCTAGGGGCTAACCGGTGCTCCATATACTTGCCCCCACCCTCTGGCCAACCCACCTTTGTCATCCAGGGGAACTTCAATCTCCCAGGACCATGAGTCACCTGCTGGCTGACAGACTCTGGTTTTTTCCAGTTACACAGGGTGGGGATCACCTACCGACCCACTGCCCTTCCCTACAACAGAGCCTTTAACACAGGAGCTGCCCTTCCCACATACCACCAACCAGCCCACCCATCTCACGCCCGACAAAACGAACTTATGACAACTCACCGCCCTTCTCCACCTAAAACCACCTCTTCACAGCAACCCCAACTCCTATCCCAACTACTCTCATACACTCACAGGGCCACCAGCATCCCTAAGGCAGTACTAAGGTGCAGAGCCAGCCAGGTGGAGCTGCAGCATCCTTCCAGCAGGCCACACAGCCCAGAACAGGTAGAGGCTCACTGGCTCTCACTGGCTGCGCCCGGGAGAACGCAGTCTTACTGGACGATCTTGACTGAGGCCCATCGGGCTAATGGAGCTCACTGACCTCATGGCTTTCTGCCTTTGCTCTTCCATTCCACACCACTCCTAGAGTAGCTACAGTGTCACGCCACCAAAGCTCCACTTCCAACCAGGAATCCACGCCAATAACCAGGGACAGGAAACCAGAATGGGTGGGGCACGAATCCTCCAGAATTCACGGAGCCAGAGCTCCTCCACAGAGGGCTTTTGGCTCATAGTACGTGTCCTGCTGGAAAGGGGGCAGCCCAGAGAACCATGGGCTCTTGAGAGGTCTGGCCAGCTCCAGCCCAGACACAGGGCCCAGGGTTCTGATTCCCTGGAAGGGCGAAAGGCAATAAATCCTTCACGGGAAGACATTTATCAGACTTGGCTTGGTCAAGTTAGGTGTTATTTGCTGAAAACCTAAGTTATTGTGGGCTCTGACCCAAATTTATTTCCTCCAAATCAGAGGGCACATATTCCTTGAGGTTGTAGAGTCTTCTCTGGGTCAAGGATCACTCTTAGCATTTATAACATTTACTGAGCACCAACAGTATCCTAACAGGGCATAAAACTTCTCAGCACCATCCTCCCGCAATTCATGAGAAGAAACACAGTAATCCCCCCGAGGTCCACTTATGAATGTGCCCATTCTGAAGATGAATATAACTGCTGAGCTACGTGCATCATGTTTCCTAGATGTGCTTTATCCTCAGACATTAAATCACTTGCCTCTGTCCCCAGCAGTGCTGCCCACCTGAGTACCCACCCACACACGCGGAAAAACAACACACCGCACATGAAAGCTTTCACCTCAATGAGCGTAAAAATTCCCAAAACTAAGTAGGATTTCCAGTAACACTTTATGATTGCTTTTGTTAAAGAAGGCTTCCGGGCGTCTTTCTCGGCTCTTGAAACTTCTTTATCCCAGTACCTGCAAGGAGAAAAACCAAGCGCGGTGAGAAACAGCACGACCAAGCGCGGTGAGAAACAGCACGGCCAAGCACACTCAGAAGCACAGATGACTGCCCGCCCCCCGGGGGGGGGGGGGCGGTGCTGCTTCCTCAGTTCTGGCCAATTGTTCACAGGGCCCCCGGGCGGAATCTGAAGCACCAGAAAAAACATGCCTTGAGGGGAAAAGTTCCAGTCTCAGGAAACAAGTCCTGGCCAAGGATGGCTGCAATGAGAGCGCCGGGAGCGGGCCAGGAAGGCAGACAGGCGCACGGACAACCTCCTCCGGCGAGACCATCTCTGGGGACAGAGCTTGGCATCCAGAGCCTTTGCTGCTGGCAACCTCCACTCCACAGAAGCACAGGAAACAGGTTTTCCCCCAGCCACCAAAGTAGGCTAAGCCCGGGGACAGCCTAAGGGGAGGGCAGCGCACAAATGAGGGAAGGAGGCTCCAGAGGGGCCTAGGGGAAGGCAAAACCCATGTGAAGTCCCAAACCACGAAGACACACACAGAAATTCTCACTCCTTCTTACCCTTCTCATTCCCGCCTGTGCCTTACCCTTGCAACTCTTCTCCCAGATGCCTCGAGCGATCTTCTGGAAGCACCGAATACATATCATCTTCTTCTAATCTCCGTTTGTGACCAATTTTAAACAAGGGGTTCAGCCACCTGTTAAAAGTCAAGAGAAAAGGGGGGCGCCTGGGTGGCTCAGTCGGTTGAACGACTGCCTTCGGCTCAG